CAGGTGTAATTTATTGTTGTTGTTATTATTATTATTATTATTATTATTATTATTATTATTATTATTATTATGAGAGGGAAACTCGCGATAATGATGATGTTTGAGTCATACATCGTAAAACCATTAAAAAATGTACCAAGGTACCAGCCAAATCAAATATAGCCACATCGATAACATAATTATAAAATGACAATTATTGCCACTCGACACTTGTATATAAGTTATTATCCTTCGATTCTTATACCCGTAACCTGTAGCGCACGGAGCGGCTAATCGGCACCCGGGGATGATGCGTGGGATCTCCGCCGCAACTATAGGTGTATGTATATATGTACATCCATCGCCAACTTTACTTTGGCTCCCCTGGAGCGAATCGTTTGTAGGTATACAGGCGTGTGCCCCCTTTGAGGTATCGGTACCTATACAGTGGCAGAGGAGAAAAAAAAAAAAAAAAGAGGAATCGCGAGCGCTGTCGCGGCCGACCGGCGAGATTGATCGTGCGGCTGCACATGCTGTCTGCACACCGGCGCGCATGTGTCCCTCCTCCTCCTCTGATGCTCCATTTGCGGGACATTCACGCATATATAGCTACGTATATGTATATACCTACATACCACCCACCAAAGCTGTATGTATGTCATTTTACATGCATCCGTGTACCTACTACACCTTACCGCGGAAAATAAAACGGTTATGTATGTATATGTATGTGTGTATATCCTACATCACCTGCCCTGCAACCGGTAGACGACGTTATAGGTGTGCATGTCTCGCACATATTATTCTGTCTGTTTGTCTGGCACTCTGGCGATCAATGAAAACGCGATCAACGGCAGCAGTGTCCCTATACAATATATTATTACCTATATATCGTACCTGTACCTACACACACGTACGCAATTGCTGCTGCTGCAACAGTCTATATATTTATAAAAGCTAACAACAACAATGAATAACTTACACAATACATATGATATAATATATTATATATCAATTGGCTGGTTACGTGTGTGAATGCCCTTTTCATTACCTGTACTTATTGGGTATACGCGCAGGCAAGGATTAATTTACGTGCCATGCAATTGCAGTTCGCAGTCTTTTTATACACATCTTAGGAACCACACACATTTTATGTTGGGCTAGTGAGGCGAGAAAAAAGATTCGAGAGACCGATGAGTTCTCGTATATAATTATGTATGAGATACTTACAGATATACACACATGTAGCAGAGCAAAGGAAGCCGAGGAGAATCGGAAATAAACTTATCAATTGATCCGAAAATCTGCTGGAGGTAGAAACAAGATTAGGCGTATAATATCCATCCTATACGAGCATGGTTATAGGTGCAGTGCATTTCTCTAAATCCCTCCTTGTGTGTTTGTGTATACATATAATTATATTGTTCGTCCTCCATCCGATTCTCGAAGGGTTTTTTTTTAACACTAAACGTATTATTTATTCTTATTCGAAATTTTTTTGCTTTTGCCCTTCGCTGTTCGCACATGGAAATAATATTATTTTTTCCCCAGTTAGCCAAATAATTTGTGTGTAATGTTTAGTAATATAAAAAATACCAATATATATATAGTGAAACCGAGTTGTTGAGCAATTGACAAGACAACAATAATAGATTTAAAAAAAGAAGATAAATAAGAAAATACGCTTACAAATATATTTTTTTTTACTGAGGAATGTCACGTCTCAAAGAGAATGTCTCTCAAAATAATTTTTTTCTAAAACGAGCTTTTTTTAAAAAAAAAACTCAGTGTGTACAATTATACTTTGAAAAACTATTATAACTATTCATACAGTATAACTTCTTCATCTGCAGTCAATATGAAATAGCAACGTGTGTGGAAAATCATTGTGATACGTGAAACTCTATAAGTGATACTACTTTGACTCAATAACAGCTGATATTCTTAAATTATCGAAATAATACTGTTTTTATTACTTTATCCTTTTTTTTCACTATTTAGAGAGAAATTTTGTCATAATCAAAAATTGAAGTTTTGTGTGAAAAATTCTTAAAATGTAATTTTTAAACTTCATGAAACAGTAGATTTCGACACGTAAACATTACTATAGGGTCAGTTCATAATATATGTCAGACAGAGTTTTTCGGAATTTCTGATGTCGTTCCATATATTCCTATAAAATAGAGATCGCAAGTTAAAATATAATAGTTGAAAACAAATTTTCGTACTCAAAAAATTTTTTTTCGAATTGTTATTAACAAGAAACAAACAAAAAATACTCTCAGACATTTTTCTCTAAAAAATTTTTTTAATACGTGGAGTCAGGTATTCTCAGCGCTCTACAGCATGAAAATGTCAATTCATTGTTCCAAAAAGAAGTTTGAAGTATGCTATGTTAATAGCTTAGATCACTGTTATTCAATTATCAATAAGACCTGCACGCGCTCGGCAGTATATATATGCATACACACACATATATATTTTACGTATGCGTCTATTAACAAGTGATAAACAAGAATCTAGATTAAAAAATGTGGATATTTGTATGCTCTGAGTATTGTAATTATACGTGTAAGCGTATTTAAAACTTTTTCTGCATCAATAAATTAAAATTATAAATACTGTAAGAAAAAATAAATAAATAAAAAAATGAAAATCTCCAATAATGCAATTAAAATTTTTTTTTCTGAGATATTGTTTGTTGTTTTGCACTACCATTTTGATTATAAAAGAAATTTTGGAAAGAGAAATTGTATCATGTGTATGGTAAACGAGGTGGTATGGGAAAAATTTATTGGAATATGCTTATTTTCCAGGCATGTTTTTAATTAATTTATAATTTCCCTTGGTTCTCACGGAAGTTACGATTAATTAGCAACATTGAATTTTTAGTCTAATTTTAGTCTGTCATACATTTTTAGAATTTACTTTTGATTTTTTGTATTCACTACGGCTCATTGAGGGTTGAAAAATGTGGATACTAATACTAATTCTAATGTTATTGCCACAGGTATCATTAGAAAAAAAAGGTAGTAACAAAATTGATTACGTAATTTTTATCTATGAATATCAACGAATATTTGATAATCGTTAAATTAACCCTTGAATCGTAGGTAACGTTTCATCTTATCTCGAATAAATGTTATATCCTATCTCGAAGTTTATGTAAAATCCCTTTACCCTGAAATAATTTATTTTCTCAAAAAAATTTTCCGTATGACCGTATTTCTTGATTTTTCGACAGATTCGAGATTTCTCGTTATTTCAGCAAAATTTCGTGCCAACACGAAAAAGCTTAAAAAACTTTACATGAAATCCGGAAATTTTTTTTCAAAAACTAAATTACGTTTACTTTGTACAAAATTTGAATGGATACACCTATACATCAATATCAGGCAAAACCACCATTAAATTTTTTGTACCACTTGTAATGAGCTAAATTACACCTCTCCTATACGTGTGCGCGAGTGTAAAGGAGCGCTTGGCCCACGTAACTATCCACTAAGAATTCTAGTAGCAGAGAGCGAGAGTTCGATACTCGTAAGCCCTTATTGAACCTAATTGACAAGTGTCGGTGGAGTAACTGAGACAACTATCTGCTCCAAGTGCCCTTTCTCTCTCTCTTCGCTACTCTCCCCGCCACTACTTACTTACTCCTTACCTCGTACCTATACATAACATTGTCTTATATATTATATGGGTCCGAAGTTAAGCGGCACTGCCATTGTTTTGTTTTTAAATTGATGTATACCTATATGCATTAAGTACGTAAATCGAGTGCACCCGACCTTGTTAAGTATTTCGCATGTATGAATGCTTGCAGCTCCATGCACAGTATTAATTAAGTAAGTCCAAACTCTACGTTGTATAGCTCTCATCTCACGTAACTCCTTGGGTAAACATACATTTTATTATGAAGTAAATTTTTTTGTCAACGAAATGCACAAAGCATTGATTGAGTAAGTATATTCGCGTAACAGGTCGAGGATCAAGAGAAACGATGTAAAATAAGTTAGTGTATTAACATCGTGTACTTACACGTGTGTTGCTAGTTAACAACTAACAGGCGACGCCACGTCTGCTCCAAAGTGAAAAAATCGGAGCAGTAGCGTACACCTATACGGGTATTTGATAACAAAACTTGAATCAATAAGCACGAGGCGCCGACTGAATAAGTACTACGCTCAACAGAAAAAAAAAAAAAAAAAAAAAAAAAACTGCTTGAACATTGGTCAGTCGGCGAGAGACCAATTTATTAATAACGCATTACTGGCTTCAAACTTGGACATTTACGTACATGGGTAGTAGGTACTTGCATGCTCACCTATCCACTTAATGTACGTGTGAAATATCGGCTGATCCCTCCTCCTCCTCCTCCTCCTCCTCACGACGCCTTTTCGTGTCGTACTTACAGCTTAAGAGTTTGAGGCTCCAATTCAAGTCTAAGCTTTTGGTACAACAGATGTATGTATATATATATAGCTTGCAGGCAAGAGGAAAAGCCCGAGGATAAAGCTCCTGCCGCTTGACCACACGTGCGCTAGAGCTTACAGCTGCTTCTTTTCCACACACACACACACATACCATGCACGAAGTATTAGGTTGTATTTCTATAGGTACGCAGGAAAACCTCCAATAAAATATTTAAGGCGACAACAAAGAGAAAGAGAAGAAAGCTTATATAGTTCGGAGAATTCAGTGGCGACGGCAGAGGTGGCGGCGGCTCGAAAAACCTCGTCTGACTCTGACCACGTTGCCGTTGGTCGCACAAGTAGGTATAGGAGGCTAGCTGTTGAAGGTATATACTATTACCTAGCCAAGCTATTACTGGAAGCGACCCACGACCCACCACCTACTTAAGGTAGACGTGGAAGTGGTGGAGGGACAGTTATGTGTGAAATGCGGCGTATTACATAATTATATATATATATATATATATATACATTATGGAGACAATGTACCTACGTAGGGAGTATAAATGTATGGGTTGGTTGTACTAGATACAAAAAACAGCAACTCACCTGCAGCCTGCAATAGCCGGCGTTGGTGGTGTTGTAGCTTGGCTACAATATATAATATATAATCTGTTTTTTTTTTTTTAATTTCTTATCTATCCTTGTGCGTTTGGAGTTATGTTATACGCACACGTATCTGCAGTAGTTGTAGCTACTGCTGACGGAGGTATAGATGTATAAATAAAACACTTTTAACTCACTTGCACCGAGCATAAATTAATGTAGAACGTACGCGCATAGGATATCACGGTCGTTTGCACTGATTATTTACAATTTACATGAAGACACTGTACATACTTATACACTTGCGGTTCTCATGTTGCCACTGCTAGATACTGCTTTTTTTCTTCTTCTCCTACGCTTTGCGTCTTGCACTTTGGACCGGCGACGAGAGCACCTTCCGCAGCTCTCCTTTTCGTGCGTTCGATTAAACTACTACTTACTCACTCCGTTCTCTACTCCTTGGCTGCAGAGCTAACACATTTATATTACACTCGGTTATGCACATAAAACAGGAGTTGAGGAGCACACGCCAGCATTACCAGCCTGCATGCTGCACGCACTTTTTTCCGCTGCAGCTGTTATTGCTGGTGCTTCTGCTGTTCCTCTTGCTGCAGCCGTAGCTGCTTGCTCGCAATATATTCGTTGACGTCACTGCGGCACCGAGCACTACCAGCACCAGCAGCAGCCAGCAGCAGCCATGATATGCCTACTCTCACGGGCACAGTGTGCTAACAGCTCTTCCTCTTTTGTTATTTTATAACTGTATACTGTACTGTGATCTATACATTATATAAATTTACTGTGTGGCGTGCGTTGCAGCTATAGAGCTGACGCTTCTTGGAAGGCGTAAACTGTGCAAGTCTGTTTACCAAACGATGTGGTCCGCGTCGAGAATGAAACTGTTTGCGAGAGCGTGTAGGGGGTGTATTTTCTCCGCAAAATCGCCGCCACCGCGCAACCCCCGGAGCTCACCATTATTTTTGAGAGAGAGAATAAGCTCGCTATCTCTCTTTTTCCTTCACAACTCTCGAAAGTCTCGAATCAGCAGTTTCGGCTCTCTCTCGACTCGACTCGCATGCGTGTCGCCGTTGGCGGTCTCGAACCTCGACTTTCAAATGGTTTTTTGTATCCGCAAGGATTAACTATCCTTAATTAATTGTTTTGTGCATAGGAAATTGCCGTGTGGTCGATCACGGTGCCTGTTTTTGGGAGAATCTCAATTTCATGCGTTTATTTCCGACAACTTTGGTCACTGTCATCTCGGCTTCCCAACGCAAGCTCGGTTCCATTTTTTCAAGTGTTGCTTCTACTTATCGGTATGTAACATTAATATTATTGAACCAAGTGTATAACGGTCCCGTTATTTTTCGTCCAATCAATCTGCACGGTAGTCGATGATTTTTCAACGTACGAAATATTCATAACCTTATTGCAGTGTATAAACTTTTGCTTTTTACAGTAACATTGTTGTTTTTATTCGAAATAAATAGCTTCGAATGACGCTAGCACAGTTTTATAATTAATTACGTGTATTGTTTCAATTTTTAAATATATTTATGGTGAATGTAAGAAGCATTTCCAAGCTGTTCGTGTGATGAAGAAGCATAGAAACCATATATTATATATTTTCTCCTTTCAAAGCTAGCGCTATCTCTTCAATTCGTCCTTTCGCGCGCGATGAGCGCGCTTTTTTTTCATTAAGTACTCCGTGTGTGTGTGTGTGTGTGCGCGCGTGTTTGCGGGTGCATTTGATGTTGACAGATTGCGCCCTACTATAAGGATATCAGAAAAAAAAAAAACAACCAAGTGCTCAGTTATAAAAACTGTATACATGGAAGGTATGTAGTTATACTTATACTTCGTTTTCCTGACAATACAAATTAATAATTCTCATAGTTTTTACTTTTTACTTTGTAGCTGATGACAAAAGATGATAAGTACAATAATACATGTGTTAAGTGCATAAAATATAAACGAAATCAAAGATCGAAGTAGATTTGGAGCTGTAATAATACTTCAGTGTCAATATGTCGGATTCTCAGTTTGTGTCTAGAATTAATCAGTTGGATGCGGTGCAACTTGATAACGAAATTTATAAAGTGCTGAGAGGCCAGGCAGAAGAAGTAACGAAATATTTTGCTCCCGGCAAAGCAGTCAAATGGAAACCAGAGATAGATGTTCTAGTCAAGTACCTCATATGGAATTACTCGTTAAAAAAAAATAGCACAACCTTTGGACAACAGCTACTCAATCTGTCATACAAGAATTTGGATAGAAGAAAAGCTCTGCTGTTATTTGTACTTTCGTCAGTGCCAAATTACTTGAGGGAACGATTTATTAATGAAAACTTTATTTTTTCGCGACTACCAACGGCTTATCAAAGAAGCAGATACAAAGGTTATGTCGATCAAGTTGATAATTTTTTGCATTTGTTAAATTTCATATGGAGCTTTTTCTTTTTATATTACGGAAATCAATCACGTTTTGTGGAAAAGATTTTGGGTCTACGTAATTACTCTTCAGATATGAATAGGCCTCGTTCTATAGGATATTCTTACATGACAAGAGAATTGCTGTGGCATGGCTTGATAGAATTGTTTACCATAGGCTTACCAATGATAGATTTGAAAGTTGTACAAAGATTGTGGAATGACATGTGGGTGCCAAAGAAAAAAGAAATCACGATTGTTACATCATGTAAGCTTGAATCTAATGCTTTGTGCGCTTATTGTAATCAATTACCAATTTTTCCAAGGTGGGCTGGATGTCCCCATGTTTTTTGTTATTATTGCTTGGAGGCATTGTTTTTAACAATGGATCCATACAGATGTCCCCTCTGCAATAACCAACTATATTACAAAAATGTAAAATCTTGTTTAAACACTTGATACTTTTGTATAAATTCTTGAGTTTATTAAAAAATAATGTTACAAAAATGCATTTTCTTTCACTTACATTAAACCAAAGTAGTTGCATTCTTAGCAAAGTATAATGGTAAATTAAGTATTTATAGATTAGCATGCTCGCTCACAAAAACACACACACACTTCAATAACTATAAATCAATTATCATGAGAGCTAGCTAAATTCATTAGGCGTATTATTTTTTTAAAAATATTCTTAAATCTTATAAAATATTTTTCCTTCAAAATGCGCTGACTTCGAGTTGAATGTTTCTTTTTTCATTAATATTTAATTGTTTACTCGATATCTAGTTTTTTACCCTACGTAGGGAGTATAAATGTATGGGTTGGTTGTACTAGATACAAAAAACAGCAACTCACCTGCAGCCTGCAATAGCCGGCGTTGGTGGTGTTGTAGCTTGGCTACAATATATAATATATAATCTGTTTTTTTTTTTTTAATTTCTTATCTATCCTTGTGCGTTTGGAGTTATNATTTGCTGTTCACTAAATGGCTTTTTTTTACTATTAACAAATCTAGAATAAATGTTGGAAACAAATAACAAAAATTCGATCATGTACAAAATCAGATCAAGTAAGTTTATAGCTGTAATTACTTTTGAATTTGAGTTGAAACAAATATCCAATAAATATAATTAATCATTCTAAATACCTAGTCTCAAATGGTAGACTCTAAAATTATCTGATGCAAACATTTTTTACTCGATTAGTAGATTCACCCAGGTATTTTATGAAAAGTATTTAGTTTCTCACTCAGTAAATATAAATTAAATAATGTAATCGGAACTTGAAGCTAATATTTAATTTACCATTCGATCGTAGTTAGCGCATAATGAAGCAATAAAATTTGAACAATTCATCTTACTTAGATTACTGGTTGACGAGAGTTTAGTAGCAGTGTTCACTAAATGTCTCCGACGCTCTTTTACAAGTACAGTAATCGTTGAGAATATATCATAATAGTACGTCCGTAAACAATCACATAGACACATTTCATGTAATGAACAAGAGCTCGCACGGGATTTTTATAGAAATCAGCATAATCGATTTTTTCAACAGTAATAATCAACGCTTAAAACTATACACGTTTAGTCAACAACTCTCAGCGGTAAAATCGTTCGTTAGGTAAGCTCCCGGAATTTTTTAATTATTCTCATGATTTGCATTTTGTGTAAAGGATAGACCGATTTCCTTACGACTGCGATTTATTTTTTCCGGTTGACAATAATATATTGACAACGTGAGACCTACCTAACGTTACATTTCATTTGCAAAAAAAAAGATGAAAAAAATATATTTAAAAACTTAACAATTTATAACGAGATTACGTGCAAATATATAAATATACGTAAATACACGCTGAGCGTGTTGCTGCGGGTACGCTTCTTAAAGTACAACAAAAGAGATACAGAGGTAGAGAGCACGTGAATGAAAGAGATAAAAGAAGTATTTACTTTGGTCAAGTTAAAAAATCTACAAGTTTCAGTTCATAATTATAGGTACATACTTATGAATTATTTAAAAATTGCTATTCCATGACCATATGGGATTTTACATTAACATGCAGAATTGTAATTAACTATAAGTTTTCAAAGAGTAACAATTATAAATGCCATGGTAACACACGATAATAACTATGCATTCTCTAATCGATATATTGGAATCTGACAGACCATTTTTTTTTTTTTTTTTTTACTTTATTCCTTCATCTCATTTCATTTCAATATATGAAAGACATGAAAAATCTCAACTCACATTATCACCATAATTATACATCGACCCTCAAGACTTGAGAAATAATGCTAACGTTTAGGAGTATACGCAAAAAGACAGACGTATGTATAGAAACATTTTTTATCACACGGCATCTTCACAGTCCTAAATTTATATTGAAATTTGTCTCTCTCTCTCTCTCTCTCTCTCTCTTTATCTCTATTGGGACATGCATTTTTTTCCTCAACGTTTCTTTTATTTGAAAGCTGCCAGTGCATTCGCTTTTTCTGTAAATTTTCATTACTTTCCTTCTCGACTCGTCGAGAACAATTATTTTATTTAACTCTTCACTTTTCGTTTCGTTCGGTGTGCTATTATACAAATGCACGGCGCTATCAATTTGATAAACGTGCAAAATTGCACGATTATTGCACGCATATTACATACGTGAGCGAAAATTAAGTAATTTATTCTGCGACTTCAACCTTACTCACACCAATTGGGCACTGCTTTTCATATACCTATAATATAAATAAGAGCAAAAAAAAAGAAAAAAAAGTATATAACAACGTAGGATACTTGTTGGACTAGTGTATGTTTGAAGCATGCGATAACAAAGTCAACAAACTTCCTAAAATCAACATCATTCGAAAGTTAAAATTACGCAGCTACTCTTAATAAATTTGATACTCCTCAATGTCCACAGTGTGTACATAACAAACGGAAGAACTTTTTTCTACCACTTGTTACTTTCGATGCTGCATTTGCGAGCGGGAGTTGGGGATGTTGCCGTTGTTGCTGTTGACGATGTTAGAGACGATAACTTTCTTTCAGCTCCAGGAGCTGCGCTACCAGAAAACAGGCTTCGTTTGTTCATTTCTACATAAAATAAATGACAAAAAGGTTGAAAATTTTTGCTGATATTTTTAAAAAGTAGTAGCCAATAGTATACGAACCTGAAATCAAAAGCATCATTTTGCGTCTAGCACCCCAAGCTGTAATACCGATTTCGTTGAGATCCTTTTCTGTGAGTGACGGGAAAGTAGTCATATCGATTTCGTTACAGGCAAATAAACCTAAAACAAACATTCAAATTTGTGATTAGAAGTTTAATTAAATTTAATTTTTGGCCAACAAGTCGAATCACAAAATAATTTACTTACGAATATATTTTTCAAGCCCAGCACTGGTTAGCATGCTCGCTAGGTCCGAGTGCTGCTGTGTAGTGATTTTTTTTAATTGATAATTTGATGTGTTTTCGATATAATTAGACATTGTGCCGGTTATTTTAGAATTCGAAGTCTCGTCTTTGGTGGAAGTAACGCCATAGTCTTGGGTAGAAGTCGTCGAGTCTTTCCATAACGATGACGTTTGGCCCAACGAACCCTGCATTTATTTGAAAAAGGTTAAATCAATAAAAATACCAAAACATAAATTAATGAAATAAATTTCAATCAACTATTTTTTGTATTTACATCGCTAGTATCAACTGTAGAAGAAATAGACGGAACTGTTTGACTTAATCCATATCCAGACCAAACTGAGGTTGGAACACGGAAATCACTAGCAGTTGGTTTGGTCTGTATGGCCTTGATAGCCATAAGTTTTTTCTGTTCGTAGTCGAACGTCATTGCACTGAAGTCTTGCGAATTTGATTGCGCATCTGGCTGCGTCGTTTGTTTCTCGTTGCCCGTAGCTCGAGAATTACCGGCAAGAGTCAATTCTGACAGTACATTCGATAAATCTAAAAGAAATTGAAATAGCTATAATTTTATAGATAAATTTCGAGTTACATCGGAAAACTTTTATCAATTACTCTGGCATTACCTAAGTTTGTGCTCACATCGGTGCAAGCAGAAGTTGGATCAATCGGCGAGATATTGCGCGGACTCATGGCAGGGCTTGATAGCGAACTCGACACACTACTTATCGATGAAAATGCTGAAATAAATAAAGTTTTGTGAGCACCTAAAAATATTTTCTTTCCATCGAATGCACATAACAATTTTTTAACCTACCACTGCTATCTTTGCCATCATTGGAAAATATGCTAGTTCGCATGCCATTGAGGTAAGCACTGTTGAGCGCGCTGCTCAGGCCGTTCACGTTTGCGTGCACCTGCGAGCCTAATCCCATCAGTCCTTTACTCATGTTATGCAGCACCTGATGTTGCTGCTGCTGCTGCTGCTGTTGCTGTTGCTGTTGTTGTTGCTGCTGCTGGTGCTGCAGCGTTAGTAGTTGATTGAGATGGGGCGGGTATGCGTACGGTGGAGTCAGGTGATTGTGCTGTATACAGGTGGGCGAGAAGAGCGATGGAGCATAGGCCCAGGAGGTTGGAAAGTTCCCAGATGTTGTGTGCATCGGCCCTGGTGACGAGGACAGGTGAGAAAAGGACGAAGGCGATGTGCTCAAGTTTTTGGACATGTTACAGTTGTTGAGCAAATTTTCTAAAATAAAAGAAATGACCATATTTTTATGATTAAATTGAAAACGGAGAACTAGTAAATATCAAGGTCAAGGAGTGCACAACACGAACCGTTGGGTGCTGAGAAAGGCCCGAGTGGAATGGAGCCTCCCTGCAAAACGAAGCTCATTGGATTTGGGACGTTGTAACCCAGTGGTATATCGGCGACGATCTTGGGTTCTTCCAAGCCCAATAGCTGCCTTCTGGCCTCGTAAATGTTGCTGGCGTTGCGCTCGATGCCTTTAATGACGATCGAGAGGGTGCTCTGCTTCGGCTTGTGTCGCACGGTTATGAAGACGTCCAGTGTCTGCATCATTCGCAACACGTCGTCCGTCGTGACGGTATTCATCGACTTTTCAGTCAAGTCGAACATCAGGACGAGTGGCAGGGAACCTATGAGCTGCTGCCGCGCCGTGTACACGCTGTGGATCGAGCCAGTGATCGTGACGTTGCTCTTTTTGAGGCTCGGAATATTCGGATCACCCGCGTCGGGAAACATGATTTGAGTGCCCGTGCGCTGCATTATAGACTTGAGATTGTTGCTCTGTTTGCCCAAAACGATGATGTGATGTTGCGGCGAGATTTCCATCGTCATTTGCACTTGAATCTGGCTCTAAAGGAATCAATAACAATTATTAGTATCATTTCAAATCGTTTTTATTTTTCACATAAAAAAGTCACAAAAATGGTACAGAAAAAAAAAATCTTGATTTTAGGTGGGATCTTCATGACTTACCGCGAGATTTTCGCACATATGGTGAATGAGAAGGACGGTGGCCTCCTTGACCTTGGCTACCTCCCACTCGCAGCCTTTGACAACGACCAGCGTTGCGTGGAGCTTGGGTCGTGTGCGGAACATTACTTGGACGTTATACTTCTTTTGAATACTGATGACGTAGGGCGAGGTGGCGAAGGGCGTATTGCCAGCCGCGGCGGCAATTTGCGAGCTGTTACCCATCACGGGTAGCTCAAACGAAAAGATCAAAGGAGTGAGAGCCTGTTAAAATTGTAATTGTAAATCAAACCAAATCATCATTACCGTCACTATGCGGTACGTGCGTAATTGTGTGTTTTTTTCAGTTTAAATAAATATATGATTCATACTCTTATCACTTGATAAACCTATGTATCATTTGTCGTAAAAAATAGAGGGATAAAATTAACAGTTAAATTAATAAACTTTCTTAATTGTCGTTTTCCTTTTCTTAAACTACATGCTTCGAACAAATTATTATCATTTTCTATTAATTAAAATATATGGTGTGTGTGTAACTAGTAGTGCATATCGTAACACGTCAAACTTGCATAACCTGTTACTTTTGTTAAACGTAACTTCTATGGTGATTTATTAATTACGATGTACGATGACATTTAATATAGTATCAGTTAAAAAAAATGTAAGTTGTTGAAAATTCAAACAGGAAGTAATTGATGATAGCATGTTGTATTGTAGCTTGAGAATTTAGCAAGAAAAAAGATGCAATGGTAAAAACACTCATACAAAAATTTATTTAGTAAAATTGCATCGTCTGTATACTAAATAAAGTTTTAAACATGTGGCTTACTGAATTGTACTTGATGGTGAAAAATTTTAAATTTTTGTGAAAGGAATAATAAAAGTGCTTACAAAAGTTCTAGTTGTTATTTTGTAGTCAATTCTCAGGTTGTTTCTATAATCCACAGTTCTCACCGACATTTGATTACCGCATAAACGGTATGAAAAAATAACAAATGACATTCCGTCTTCACGATAGCGAAGAAATACATGAAAATATGTGTAGAATTAAAATGTGTTTGTTGTATTGAACTATTATTTTGTATATTTAGTTTACCTTCGTATAAAATAACTCTTGTTATCACTCAATCACTGGTACATATTCTAAATTAACAAACAATTGTAAGACAAAGTGGTTTATAAGAAGCAGATATGGGTAATAAAATGAGCTAATCAACTATGCTCTTAAACTATTTTACTTTGATTGCATGGCATAAATGTGAAAAACACTGCAAATATGTTTGAATAATTAAACATTATGTTTTCAAACTCACAAAAGTAAATAATAAAAAAATTTTTTTGTTGGAGTAAAATAGAGCATCATTTTATTACATCAGTCGTATTTACTTTGGTAATCCAAATGCAATGAACGTTTATTAACATTTTTTATTATTTTATATTGAAGGCGTTGGAGTTTTGATAACATGATAATTGTTAATAGTATTAGCTATGATTTATTTAAAGAGGCATGTGCAGCCTTAGAACTTCAGGATGCTCAATCCTTTGCTATAATCCATGCAACACTCTCTATAGTTTGGCATGTCATCTGTCTTTTTCGCTCTTCTGTAACAATATAACCTTTTCTAGACTTTACAACGCTCGATATTTAACTTTTTTTCTCAAAAGGACCCTCAAGATGTTTGATAAAATTAAGAACGGTCATTACATATATTTTTATTATTTGTAAAATTTTTATCTAACGTTCATAGTTAATAAGTAAAATAAATGTTATAGCAGTGCTCAAAAGGATGATAGCCTATAAGCCTACATGTAAAAATCAGCTAAATGTTAGTAATAATCACTTGGCTTCTAGAAATCCTTATGCCTTTAAATTTTGACAGTGAGATTTTTATGACTTTAGTTATTCGTAAATAAATTTAAATCTATTTCTCATTGTTAAATCCATAACTGATAGAACTTCCTTAAAAAAAGTGGTGATGAAAATAAAAAGGCCATGTTGAAAGCTGTTTTGTGCATAATGCCACTAACTTTGTAGATTTTTTGTAAGAATATCAGTTTACTTTAATAGTTAACATCCAGCTCAATTTTTGAATAAGCTTAAGTCACATACGTCTCAAGTTCTCATGCGATCATGTTACTGACAAGCCACCAAAAGAAAAATTTCAAATAGATTACCAAAAAAACCTGTCAATAAATATAAAGCAGTCACAGACTTTTTTTAAATTGACAATTTACTGATCAGTTAATAGAAAAATATTAATAACTTATTCATTTGTATGAGCTTGAAAATATAAATAA